GTTTCCAGGAATGTTCAAACTCAGCAAAATCTGTAATTTCACCAGTTGCCTGTCAGTGGCGTCATATCCCCTTTGTGCATGTGTCAGCGTTGTGGTTGTCTGCCAGAAGCTGTCATACATTGACTGTTAATCCAGTCTGAAGCCACATTGTTACCATCCACTGTTTAGATCTTGGTGCTTTTTAACTCTAGATTTGAACCGGATGAAGGATTTTAGTCATTAGACGTCTGGATCTTAAGTTATCAGAGAAACAAGCTGAGCTAATGTTGGCAGCAGCTCGGCTCGCAGCCCCTCCGGGACGTCCTTAGTCTGTCCTACAGTGTGGGAGAAACAGTGATTTTTAAGGTGGAACTGCTTTATTCAGTGTTTTTAGTGGTCTGTTTGTTTTGGAGATGAGGAGACCTCTGAGGATAATTGGGCTCCTGGTAGAAACCTCCTGTACCATATATTTATATTTAATTTTTATATCTATAATCCATGCACCTAAATTAATCATTTCAAACTGAAAACACATACACTGCATCAGTGGATTTTCTGAGCCTTTGTGTACAATTTGTTGTATATGGCAAATGGTCCTTTCACACAATGATGGCAAAGCCCAACAAACAGTAATTAACTCATTCACACACATTCACTCAGTGATGCACAGCATCAGGAGCAATTTGGGGTTCAGTATCTTGCTCAAGGATACTTCGACATGCCGAGAGCTGTGGATCAACAACCTTCTAATTAGTGGACGAGCCACTTTACCTCTGAGCCCCACTAGTTTACATTAGACATGAGTTGATACTGGCAATCCCCTATAAGAATCATGTATTTGCAACCAATTTGATATGCATTTAATACTTGCTACAGCCATTCTTATAAATGTATATATACATGTTTGATCATATTTTAATATCTGCATGTAATAAATATATTAAAAGTTACAGTACGTTTTAAGTGATGCTTAAAGTATAAATTATTTCTCCTCAAAGTTTGGCTTACTGATGAAAGGAAACAATTCCCCTGCCCACCCTGCTGAAGACAAGGTCAAAGGCAAGCAGCCTCCAGAACATAACCAGATAACCAGAAATGAAAGGCGGCGAGTGACACGTCTATCTCTTATTGAGTCACAAGATGGCAGCAAATAACTGATGTCTGACTGAGTTGGTCCATTACAGTACAGTCAAGTAACTGTCATAAATATGACATGTTCTATCCTTAGACCCTCAATTCAGATAAGGAAAAGCAAGATTCTTTAAGTAATTAGCGTTACTAAAGATAAAGATGAACTATTACTATATTATTAGACATACATGTACACAAATGTCTACAAATAGTACCTAGCTTGGATGATGATACTTCACATTTAGCCTGTGTAAAGGTGAAACAAGGCAAGTTTATTTGTGTAGCACCTTTTAATTAAACATGCTTTACTTAAGACATTGAGACCAGATATAACAGAAACACCAGGCAATATAGAAATACACATATAAATATGATTTTAAAATAAAAGAAAACTGAAAAATTAAATACAGAAAGGTTTTAAGGTGTGATTTTAGGAAAACAGAGTTGACGTTTCTGGGAAAGTGTTCCAGATATGTTGTGCATACAAAATTATGTCCATGTTTAACATGTTCATTTGATGGCCATCACAGAGCTGTGGAAAAGAAGCACAGCAAAGGATTTTATTGTCTGGACCTTTGGTTTACCCTGATATCCTGTTTGATTGTTGTTAGTTGAATTACTATTGCGTGGTAACGCAGCTGAAATTGCAGTTGAGTGTGTCAGTATGAGAACTGTTCACTGCCAACACTCCTGATCCCACCACCAGATGGGACCAAAGGCAGGAATTATCACATTGTTTTGAAACAACCTGTATGTTTATGGTGAACAGAGAACATGAAGCCAATGCCTTCTTGCCTTCAAAATGTAGCTGATTAATGTCCCACAGACTTTACTGGCAATGTCAATGCTGGATGCTTTTAATTCTTTTTTAATCCCCAATCCTCATTGAGTTACAAAACCAGCTCAAGACAAAAAATAAAAAGAGTCTCCTTAGGGCTGCAGGACCTCCCAGGAGCAAGTCGAAGGTGTGAAATCCTCTTTTATTTGAAATAAGAATATATTCAAACTCTTTATCATCTGTTTTTGCTCAGAGTTATGTCTTACCTAGGCATGCCAAATAAGCCTATTGGAAAGCAGTTATTATATATATATATTAATATAAAATATATTTTAAAATTGCTATGCTATGACAATTGACAAGCTACGAACTGTCTGGTAAAATTATTAGAAAGGTTATTTAACTTAAGTATTTACAACGTAGGGCTTTATGCTACTCATAAAAACAATATATATATACAAAAATTATACACTGTGAATTTGATTAATAAGTCATTAAAACAAGTAAAATTAAAGATCCCCTCCAGACATGTATTAGTACATGTATACAAATAGTCTGCTGGGAACAATAATGTATGTCTAAATGATATTTTATTCCATAAAAAAGTACAACTTCCACAAAAAAATCCTCAAAAAGAAATCGCCTCCTTCTACCTCATTAAAACTTCCAGAATCTCTGAATATACAAATGTTGTTCATTTCTAAAGTTTTGCTGCTGGACACAAGATGTCTCCTACTTCACTGTAAAGTCCATTCTCAGTGGATGTGCACTGGTGGCTTCAGGTTCCTACATCACACTGTACAAGTTGCATAAAAAAAAAAAAAATTATTTGAGTACAAATAACTTAAATATTTGTTAGGGTAACTTAAGGTAAATTAAGTTAAGTGTACCAATTCCCTTCAGTTAATTAAACTTAAAACTAGTAAATATATGTATATACAATCATTTGCAGCATTTCGCCAAACTTTTATTTTATGTTTTCTACATTTACATTACCTGTCAAAACATCTGACATTTTACAGTGAATCGATTATCAGAGTGGTAGTCAATTAATTAAATGTAAATCAAGTAGGCTATATAATTAATTACAGAAGTAACAATTTGTTACTTCTGTAATTAATTATATAGCCTACTTGTTTTTACACTTTGGGGGATCATTAAGAATCTGACATATGAAAATTTTAAGAACTGAAATAAAAATAAACTTGAAAAATTAGAGAACTACTTAGAGAAAATAAACAAACGGAACAAACTGAAATTATATCACCAATACTTAAAATACTGCACAAATTTAAGTTCGGGCAAACCACTGAGTTATACTTCAACTGTTCATTTTGAGTTAGCTTTTATTTATGGGATTGAGTGACTAAACATTTTTTGGAAGTTAAAGTTATGTTAACTTACTTCTTTTATTAAGATATGCTGTTATATAAGCCAATAATGTTTTCTGACAACAGTAAACAATAAAGCTTATTCCAAATGTTCTTTAGTATGTTTAGTGTACAACCAGTGGTGTAACAAAGAATTTAGTCTGATCAAGCGACAATGAAACTGTGTCCCAAATGACCAAAAAATCTCACTGAAAAATAGTTGAAAAATGGTGATCCACGTTTGTAAAATGTATCATCCACACTTCACAAGATAGAATTATAAAAACAATCCCAATATACCTGAACTCTAAATATAAAAACAAAAAAAAACATATTCATTAGGAAGCCAATAACTGATATAACTGAAATATTTTCTTTTAAATTGTAAAGGTCTTTTTTCTTTTACACCTGCTACATCTGAGTACCATTTTCTAACCTGATGTTGTTACATGCTATAATCTATACATTTTCAGAGCCTGGCACTATAAGAATTACAGTAATTACAGTGACTGGAACTCTTAATGAAAAATTAAGTAATTTTATTTCTGTGATTTTTTTTTTTACAGTTACTTGATCTTTATGGTAAATAGAAATGCAGTTAAATTACTGTGAAATTTGACTGTGTAGGATCATGTATTTGGACTGGCTCTAGTGCTGGGTGGTATCATAGTATTTATTTTACAGTATATTACAGTACATATTACAGTATTTTTATTTAATTTATTTTTTGCATGAAAGAGTGTTTATTTTTTAAATTGTAGATTCACTTTCTAGCCTTCTTTTTCTTATTTCTATTCCACCTGCTAAGTTACATTTTAGCACCATTTAGGCTACATGTTGGTAAAACTGCAACATGAATGTCCTGTTCTGTTACCATGGATACAGTAAACTGGATTTACTGAATGCTAAAGAATAGCTCTTAATTTAATTACTCTGAGGCAACAGATTATGTTATATAGAACACCTTTTATATAATATTTCAATGTATTTATGTATTTTTGTCCACAGTAGAAGAAACTGTCATTGGAAAGAGTAAGTCTGCTTCCACCAGTGTGTGTGTGTGTGTGTGTGTGTGTGTGTGTGTGTGTGTGTGTGTGTGCTTTGACCAGTTTGACTCATGGAATATACCCGATGAAAAGATGATTTTTTTTTACTACTGTATTTGTGTTTATGTGTGTATCTTTACAGGGAAATACTAATACTTATCAGTAAACACAAAGTTGTGGTTGGGGGGTGGTTTGGAGGGTTTCTGCTTCAAGACCTTAAAAAGTCTCTGTCCGGCCCTGCAGAGAGCCACAGGCATGCACGCAGCATGCCGCATGCAGCCTTCATAAGGCCGTACAGCAGGAACTGGATAACCAGGATCAATCAAGCTGGCAGGAGGTGAAAAGAAAATTTGGATTTCAGGATATTGCGAATAAAAGCCTCGCATGAACCTGCACTGATCCTGGAGCAGCCGAGGGCAACGCGGGGTGTTAGGGTATGATGGATGCGTGTGCGCGCATCGGGGACTAATCCATCTCTGCTAGGAGAGAGTCAGGGAGAAAAAGCACCGCAGCATCCCTTCAGCAATCTCTTAATATTCCGAAATAAAGGAGCGCAGAGGAGGAGAAGGAGGAGGAGGAGGAGGAGGAGGAGAGCTCCAGGAGAGGAGAGGACGGCACCATCGCATCTCCAAATGGGCTGCACTGTTCTCCTTATTGACCGGCCCGCTGACGGACCGGCAAGCCAAACCCACCGGAGTGAGGGCTGACAGAGACTATATAAAGGCCCGCAGCGAAGTTTGTCAGCGGATGCGCCTCTTCTGCCGAACTGCAAACTGCCTCGGATTAACCATTCCTTTGTGTTAACAGGATAGCACACTGTAGGAGCAGCCATGTCTCACGGATGGGGATACGGACCGACTAACGGTGAGGATCTCACAGCATCCAGGATGAGCTGGGTGTCCAGGTGTCTGTGTAACAGGTTAACAACATGCTGATACACACTAAACTCAATTTTGCATTATTAGTTCAGGAAGTATACCACAGTCATCAGTTGGCCTTTTCTCAATAGCACTGAAATTACTTCAGTAAAATAACTCAGTTTTAAACTTATTCCACTGCATACAGGAAAACAATCTCTACATTTTGATAGTCTTCCACTGCAAACATTACAGTAACTGCTAGGGGAGCAGAATTAATTCAAATATCATCCAAATTGCAAGAACCTGCAGTTTTTTGATAAAGGTGTACAATGTGTGACAAACAGCATTATAATGAAATACTGTAGTTCTGAAGAGATGTTCTGGCAAATCTTGTCCTTTAGAGGTACAGACTGCCAATTACACATCATTATGATTTTAAATGGGTTTTTTTCAGGGAAAATTATATAAGTGATGCTGAAATTATCATTCCCACACTGCTGGCTGGAACTTTACTGTACTTTATAATTTTACAGTTTTAACATTTCTACTTTAACCAAAATTAGGCCAACAGTAAATATTAATCACTGTGTTTTATATTACAGTTACATGATCTTTACTCAACTTAAAAGTTGAAATACTGTGAGTTATTCTACAGTAAGCTACTCGTCAGTTAATCACTATGAATTGTAGTTTGTTTGTTTTTTTTACAGTGTAGGCTCATGTAGTCTACATATGACAAAGGACAAACTTTTTCCTAAAGTTAATTTTATTTTTAAATTTAAATTACCCCAACAGCATTTGGACTAGTTCTAGTGTTGAGAGTTATGACCAAAACATGTGTATTATGGTATTCATTAGGATTCTGGAGGTTTCACTGTATTTCGCTGTATTTTTTATTTTATTTGTTTGTTTTTATTTTTTGCATGATAGGTCCCTTATTCTTCTGTCCTCACCCCATAAAAATATGCAATACATACATATGACAATGTTTATTGTACAAACTGTTAACATTTCTCCCTTTTCAAAACAAGATATTTTAAAACAGTTGTATTAACACTTCAAACTGACACAAAATACTCAAAGCATTTCTCAAATGTTCTATTGCCCAAGAAACAAATGAGTTAGAGGAATTGTTTCAGCTGTTTGCCAGTATGGCTGTATATTAGAATATCATATCATAGAATTAAATATTGGCTACTGGTTCATCTGGTATATCACCCAGCACTAGCTACAACATTAAAATGCTACACATTAATGCATCAGTTATTGGAATTTTTTTCATTATACTGCAAAAGAAAAAGAGTATATTTTTAAATCTGGAACCTTTACTATGAATGGATAATAATTATTTGAGGTTTTATGTGAAGGATCTAAAAATAGCTTCTAATAAGGCAACATATGTGAGCATAGAGGACAGCATTCTTTGCTGTAGGTGGTTCAATTGAATTACATTTATTATATTCTTTACTCAATAACAAATGTGAGGTACTTGTACTTTACTTTAAGTACTTTGTTGCTTAAACAGTGATGAAAGAGACCATTCTGCATACTGACTTTGTTTGGATAGTTTAAGAACACATTTCTAATAATATTTATTGTTATATCCATTTTTCTTTTACTTTCAGTGAGTATTTTTTACACTGTAGTATTATATTTTTTAATATAATAATACCACAGTTAATGATTGAATGGATACTCTTGAATGTGTAATCTTTATTATTTATGGATTATTATTTTGTTCATGTGAAGTATCTGAATACTTCTACTACTAGGATGTGAAACAGATGTGAGGAAAAGAAAGGAGAATTATTACATTAGATAAATCTAGTGGAGTTACTTTAAAGAGGTTGGCGTGGAGGTGCTCCACTCACAGAACATAACAGACCATGACAAAACACTGATTGTGCTATTAACTTATTTATTATTGTAATATGTGTTTATAGGACCTGATACATGGGGAGCCGATTTTCCTGTAGCCAACGGGCCCAGACAATCTCCCATTAACATTGTCCCCAAGGAGGCCCAGTACGACTCCTCTTTGAAGGCTCTGAAACTCAGGTATGACCCCTCCAATGCCAAGGGCATCCTCAACAACGGACACTCCTTCCAGGTGGACTTTGTGGACGACACAGACAGTTCCAGTAAGTGTTGGACACAGAGCCACAAGGAGACATTTGTTCATCATGCACTCATACACATCTGTAATCTTAGTTTTTGTAACCCACCAAAAATTTATTTTTGCTACACTACAGGAAGATATTACATAATATATGATGATATAACATAATGTCTAGGCTAAGTTCCAGTAAGTATTAGTATTAGTGAACTTTATCTGGCTATCTGGTTTATGCCTCCACCCATGCTGTGTGTACTGTAAGATAAGAGCGCGTGATGATGTCAGCGCTCAGTTAACCCCGATCAACCTCGTCATTATCTAGAGGTCAACAGGACATCTGCACCACCTCCCTCTGCTGCACTGTCACTGCTCATTCAACCTTCATATAGTGCAAATAATAAAAAAGCACATCATTATGAATCAACTAAATCAAATCAAAAATTGTTATTAGTTGTTAAACAAAGATTCAAATAATATGTACTCTGTAGTCATTACTACATTATTACATGAGTATTGAGTACTCATGGGTCAAACCACACCCATCTTCGAACTCGTCCACAGACATATAAACATCTGGCAAAGTACTGAAAACCACCTCAGTGGTAGTTCACGCTACAGTGGTGTCTAGTAGTGTCTCCAGGACCACATTTTGTCATGATGACACACACACGGACTCACAAGGTGAAAACAATACCCCCCACACACTGTTGCAGCTGGTAACAATAAAAGCATTATTGCATGGTAATACTCCCAACATATTATTATTACTGACTGTATAATAATGTGCACATTACGGACGAGCATTTATTTACCCCAGTCTTGATGTTAAATGTCTAATGATTCTGTTGTTCTGTCCTCATCAGCCCTGACTGGAGGTCCTATTTCTGGAACGTACCGTTTGAAGCAGTTTCATTTCCACTGGGGAGCCAGTGATGACAGAGGATCTGAGCACACTGTTAACGGCGTCAAGTTCCCCTGTGAGGTACTGGAACTACTGGAGTTTGAATGGGGACTGAAAGATTAGAAAGTTTACCACAGACACAATTCATGTTATGGAATAAATGATGAGGTTTATGGTGGTGCTGTCCTCTTTGTCAAGAGGCTTACGTACAAATTCTAAAATGCTTCTTATAATTTTTCACATATATTATTTTAGTATTGGCTGGTTGGTTAGGTTTAGGCATGACGAGTGGTGAGATGGCAAGAAACAAATTTCAGGGTCAATCAGGCAGAGTAGGGGTGGGTCTTCCCATTATGTGAGCTTGGCAAAAGTAATTCAGTTATTCATGTTATAAAGCTATATAAAAATCTATGCTTGTCTTTTCAACATTGATTAGCCTAGCACCTAGCATATCTAAGTAAAGGAAATGAGAAAACTGACCAAGGTTCCAGAAAAGGCAGGATTTGTGATGGGTCAGTTCATTGTTTATCCTAATCATTTCTGATTCATAGTTGCTTATTTTTGTCAAAATTATTTTTTGTTGTTTGCATTCATTCATTGATTAGACCATATTTGCGCTGATAGCAGTTTCTTCTGTGTCATTTTTTTTAAACATCCACATTGCTGATGAAGATGACACACTGTGTAGTCTCTGCCTCAAAAGTCAAATTTTGCCTCTTTTTCTTAGCTTCACCTGGTGCACTGGAACACTCAGTACCCTAGCTTTGGAGAGGCAGCCTCCCAGCCTGATGGACTCGCTGTGGTCGGGGTGTTTCTCAAGGTGAGTCATCTGTGACTGCAGACTAGGCATGAGAAAGTACTACTAAGTATACGTGCCCTATGGAACCGTGTGCAGTTATTGTAAATAAAATTGTGTATGTCTGTGTTGTGCTCCAGATTGGCGCTGCCAATCCCAGGATTCAGAAGGTTTTGGATGCCTTGGATTCCATCAAGACCAAGGTAAAAACTGTCCCAGAATACACAAAACATAGCTTTCTTGAATACAGATGTGTTCATATAACAATTTAAAAGATTGGGAAACTAACAACTCCAACTTTCCTTCCTTCTTCCTTCCTCACTCCCTCTCTTGCTTTTCCATTCTTCCAGGGAAAGCAGACCACCTTTACTAACTTTGACGCAAAGACCCTTCTTCCTAGTTCTCTGGATTATTGGACCTACGATGGCTCCCTGACTACACCCCCCCTGCTGGAGAGTGTCACCTGGATCGTTCTCAAGGAGCCAATCAGCGTCAGCCCTGCACAAGTACTTAACCTGCTTCACATACGCTGACTTTCTTTACCTTCAAAAAAGGGTCATTGTGCAAGAAGGATTTGTTCACTATGAAAAATGTACAATATACGATTTACCCCTATTGTGATGCAGTACAATTCAGCAAGATTTGATTGAACGAGATACGATGCGATGCAATAGAATATGCTATGCAAATATGGTACAGATTAGGGTTTAGCGAGGTGTAATGGTGTACTCACTCGTCCTTACTACAGAAAGTTGGATTTTTGGTTGTGAAAACAGATTGAGAAACAGAGATTTACAGAGGAGGAATTAATCTAAACATAAAATTATCATAATATTTCTAAATAAAAAAGGCATAAGCCCTCTATTAATAATTATATATAAACAAACTGGATTTTTTGGGGGGGCTATTATTGCGTTTATGATAGTGACAGCCGAAGACAGACAGGAAAGGGGGGCAGAGAGAGAGGGGATGACACGCAGCAAGGACTCAGCCTCGGTACATGGGTCGCCAGCTCTACCCACTGAGCCAATAAACTGGATTTTAACAAAGCATCCCAAGTTCAGCCCAAATTGTATCCAATGCACACTTTTCTAATCGGATGTGAATTGGTTACTCTTACCATCCCTATTATTGTTAATATCACAGGCCATAAAATGTGAAAAAGATGTGAGTATGTCTATGCATCTATGCTGTATGCATCTTGTTAGTCTTGTGTAGCTTAAAATAAAGCGAGGTCTTTAGTACACCGAAACACTTTCTTGGACAGCCCAATACACCAAAGGTCAAACAGTATATTTAAGGCCACAGTGACATTTGTTTTAGCTATCACTGTTTTGAGATTGGAAGGCTGTTCTGCAGCATATTCCACAGTAAGGTAACAAATACATGTAGTGTTGAACTTTTGACAGCCAAACAACTGAACCGAAGCCATAGGCGGATTAAACACTAGATATAATATAAATATAGGCTTGGAAGGTCATATGGTATGTGTGTTTCAGTACATGTGTTTATGTACATGAACATGCACACAATTGCCTGTGTGTATTTGTGGCAGTCCTAAATACTGCCATTTTTCTAACTGCTGGTTTGTGGGTTGGACATGCTGCTTCGGTACAGCTTTCCAATCACGTAGTCTGGTGAGACTGCTGCTGAATGCTCCAGTGGGAGGTTTTTTTGTCATATTTGGTGAAACTTTCACTATATTCTGACAGTGGAACAGTAGTTCCTTCGGTTCGTTGTAGTGCTTCTAATACCATTTGCAAAAATCCCCTGTGCCTGAATGAAAACAATCAATCAGAGCCAAGACAGATAGCTGAACACTAAGTCTCATTCCCAGGACGTCAAATACAGATGCTTTGTGACCCGGGGAATGAGACTCAACAATCAACTATCTTTAAGCCTCCAACCCAAAGTGTCTTTATATTTTTCTTGGTTCTGATTGGTTGTTTTCGTCCAGGCCTTGTGAATTTTTGCAAATACTAATGGGAGTGCTAGAACGAGTCAGGGGAGCCAGATGTTTTTGCAGATTATCTGTACCACTGTCAGAATACAGTGAAAATCTCAGCAAACTTGACAAAAAGTAATTTTTATTAAAGTTACCAACTGCAGCTTTAAAATCAGAAAATAAAAGTGTTGAGCCTCAGGGAGTCTGAGAAATGTCTGAGAAGAAAAAAAGGCAATCAGTTTCTGCAGAATTAAGACAGCTGTTATCTCTTTTTATTTTTATAATAGCCTCATACATGCTTTAGTCTTTGATTTGGCAATCAACACAGGCTGGAAGTATTTGTGCATGGTTTAAGGAGCCAGAATGTCGGTTCAAACATTGTCAAGGTCAAGAGTGTAAGAAGTCATATCATGCTTCAGAGCAGGGTGGGTCTGAGCCCAGTGTCTTCTGTTTCACTTAGATTACACTGACTGCTCATATCTCCAGTAAGCAATTTGCACTCTATCTCTTTTACATAATTAATACTGCTCCACTGTACCTTTATGTGACATAAGGGTGGAAGCTAGAGGGGTTAAAAAATGCATGGCCACCCCAGTTTGTCAAATGCTGTCAAATTTAACAAATCAATTTAGATTAAGTTTAAAAAACATATTAACACATATAATTTAATGACCTACTATGGCCACATTTTAGACTGATAGGCTTAAGTTTGGAAAAAATGTCTGAAGATTTGGAAATGAAATAATGTATTTCTTATGCCACCTTTAGATATTTTTATTCAATACTTTACTAATGTACTACAATATAGTGTTAAAATATCTGCATTTGTTGACTTTTCTGTTTGTTTGTGATTAAATCAGTCTATATTTCTGCCACCCCTTAAAGTCGCCATGCCACCCTCTGGACACCCCATAAATATTTCTCTAGATGTATTTCTCTCCCTGCTCTTAAGGTTTAGTGCTCAGTTATCCCTCCCCAAATAAAACCTAGATTGTTATAATGAAAAGACATGCTTACATAAAGAAATCTGTCCTTTCTGCAATGTAGAAATGAACGCACTGATACAGTACAGTACAGTGCAACATGTACTTTGCTATGAAAGAGTCACTGCTAGCATTGCTGAGTGAGCCTGATGAGGGAAATTAAATCCAAGCTCACTAGCTAGCTAAAGGCTAAATGACTCTCAGAGGAGTTGTTGTTTATGCCATTCTGCTGCTTTAGTCGTTTTACTCACTCATACACACACACACACACACACACACACACACACACACACACACACACACACACACACACACACACACACACAGCCAGGCCTTTCCACCTAACATGTAGGCCTTCTCATGGTTCCATTAGCTCAGTGTTAAGAGGGTTGGTTTGTTTTGCAGAGGTAAGTGGAGACTGCTTCAGTTGGTGGACAGTTTGTATATCTTCAGAAGGGCTGTGTTTTGCGTCACCATGTGCACATGGGAGATAACCACCACAACGGGAGGGTGTGTGTGTGTGTGAGGTGGCTGCCCCTGTACAACACTGGGTTGAAGATAAACTGGAGCAAGTGCAGCAGCATATTGCGTTAAATATCACATTGCTGCTGGTAGTTTATCATTTAACATAATCCAGGTAGTCCTTCCTTCCCAGGGACTGTGCATTAATAGAGTAAACAACATTGTGTTGCTGGTCCCTTTTCTCATACGCACTTTGATTTGACCAACTGAGGATACAAGAGCTCATGGGAATGTTTCATCATTCTGGTTCCTATGCAACAGACTCTGTGTTCCATTTGCATTAGAGAAAATATTTGTTTCTGATTTGAAGGCAAGTGTTTGTTACGACGGAGTATTAGGGCCATTTTTTGGTGGGGAAATTACGAGAATAAAGTCATAATATTAGGTCTGCGAGAATAAAGTCGTAACATTACAAGAATAAAGTCGTAACATTACAAGAATAAAGTCGTAATATTGCGAGAATAAAGTCGTAATATTACAAGAATAAAGTCGTAACATTACGAGAATAAAGTTGTAATATTACGAGAATAAAGTCGTAACATTACCAGAATAAAGTCGTAACATTACCAGAATAAAGTCGTAATATTATAAGAATAAAGTCGTGATATTACGAGAATAAAGTCGTAACATTACGAGAATAAAGTCGTAACATTACCAGAATAAAGTCGTAATATTATAAGAATAAAGTCGTAATATTATGAGAATAAAGTCATAATATTAGGTCTGCGAGAATAAAGTCGTAACATTACAAGAATAAAGTCGTAATATTGCGAGAATAAAGTCATAATATTACAAGAATAAAGTAATAATTTTATGAGAACTGCCAGCCTGTTGGCTCAGCCAGCAAAACTGTTTAACGACAATATTATCAATACGTTCGTTTACCTGTTGACTGTACGGTACGACTGAGACAAACAGTGGCTGCTGGGCTCAGGCTGAGGCTGCTGTTTGGTTGAGCTGCTCACATCAGCTCTTGATAACTCTATCGAAGCTTTTTTCTCATTGAAAGGATTACATTATTCTCGTATTATTACAACTTTATTCTCGTAACATTACGACTTTATTCTTGTAATATTATGACTTTATTCTCATAATTTCCAAAAAAAAACAAAGAAGAAAAAAGAATTTCTTAGTCTGGCCCTAATACTCCGTCATAGTTTGTTAACAGAAAGGGTGAATATCATGTAATTTTCTTTGTACTGTAGGCTACATATGATCACAGATTCTTGTTGGCAGAGTCTGTTATATTAATACAGGTAATACACATACTGTGTTTAAAAACGTATTTTTCTGCTTGTATTTGTTTGGATTCGGAAAGCTCAGTTCAGCTGAATTCTCTGGCCCCACTGTAGATATGGTCCCTCCAATAGCTATACTATATACAGGGTCGATGAACAGTAACATAAACCTCACCACAACAAACCTCAAAGACACAAACACACACACACACACACACACACACAGAGCCTCTCTTAGGGGAGCTGCTGGCCCAGCTACAACACACAACATAGCAACTCGGTCTCTTCTAGTGACTGTCATAGCTCTACCAGACTCCAGAGACTCAGAGAGTCTGACAGTAGCTGCTGGTTGGTTGGCTCGGATTACCAGCACGTTGCTGTTGATGCTTTCACTATGTGAACCTATTGTGACATAACCCATTGGTTTGTGAAGTGCCGAGTTTGCCATTATGACCATCGCCATGTTTTTTTCAGAGCCAGCAAAAGTGATGTACTCTGACTAGCTTCATCATTAGCTAATGTATTTTTCAAGCTGCTATCAACTCATCAATATGCATCTAAATGTACCTCTAATTTTAAAAACCTTTCACTCTTACAAACTCAAACTGAACAGTCAGTCCAGAGATCCACAGCCACATGAGCGCCATCTTGTGTGTGTTTGGATATGAATTGCTTTTAAATTCTAGCTGTAATATAAAATTAAAAAGCAGGTTGCAATGGAGATGTTAGAAACAACACATATAATATTGTGCAAATGCATTTGCATTACATTTCATGTGACTCAATCCATGTCCTGTCTCTCCTTCCTCATTAGATGGCCAAGTTCCGTAGCCTCCTGTTCACTGGAGAAGGGGAGGCTCCATGCTGCATGGTGGACAACTACCGGCCTCCTCAGCCTCTGAAGGGTCGCCAGCTCCGCGCCTCTTTCAAATAAACCCTGCTTTGTCTTCATAGCTTTCTAGCCCCTTTGCTTGTCGTTCCCTCCCGAACCATCTTACTCACCTTGCTCTCCATATGCAGTCTTTACTTATCTTATATTAGCCCTATTGACATCAACTTGAAAAGTAGAATGAAGACCCATCTGCTTACACTTTCTGTGTCAAAGACTACCTGGATGTATCTTGAATAAGAGAACTTTAAAAGTGAAAAATGTAAGATTTGTATGCTTTGACACTTTTGAGACATAGGCCCTGTTTATACTTTTCATTTCAAGTGTCAACAATCCAGATTATGTTTTGGACAATTTTATTTACATAAGAATGAATCATATCAATGAACTACAAGCAAGACAAATGTTTTATCATCTTCACAGCTCTAATCAGCGCTGCTCCCTCACCCATACAGATTATTCGATGGTTGAACTGATCAGGACTCAAAAGCTCCAGCAGCCTTATATTTAATCATATGTGTGGAAATGGCTGGAGCTGGGAACAATGGCTAATTTTATTGTCAATTTATGACAACTATTAGACAACAAGATTTCCAAAAAAAAGTTGCTATATTTACAGGTATGAATATATATAACATATTTTATGCTGATGTTACTCGTAAAAAGTAAATTTTCTGCTGATTAGTGATGTACTGAAACTGTCACAACTACTACCAACATTCTGGCCCCTTCTAGAAGTGGAAAGTTATGTCTGTGTTATTATAGGAAATGTCAGTATACATAAGAATTTCAATCAACAGTAATATACTTTTTGTTAGCATTAGTGAATTGAAGTAAAAAAAAATTACTACTACTTAGGCAACTGTATATTATGGGATCATGTGTGCCATGTACTACAGTTGAAGAGCACACCTAGTGCCTCTGAGGCAGATGTAGGACTAAATTACATGCATTTCCATACATACATATCCATCATATATCCTTGTTTGAAAACGAAGGCCTTTATCCTGAAGCTTCTTTCTATGCATTCCATTGTGTTGTGACAGCTGCTCAGATTGTGAAAGCTAATGTTTTTATTGATGCCTCATTTTAAGACAAGCTGAGTGTGGATAGACGTTTTCAGTGGTGACTACACAGTTGTGCACTATGCAACTAGAGTTTCAGACGTACGATCACCTCATAAAGGTTATGTTATGGAATGCTCCAGTATGTTAGGAAGGACCCAGTATTGGCAGATGGTACAGCCTGAGTCCACACTAATGTGTGTAAATAGAAAATGTGTTGTCTTTTTCTACGTTGGGCTTCCATTCCAACCCCACTGACACATCGGCTTTGCTGTGGTCATTGATTAAGCAAACTCATCCTATCAGCAGTAAGTGTCAACTCCATTTTTTATATAAATTATGACAACTGAACTACCTATCACCACAGTGCATTAAACAACATCATGTAAGACAGAGCTGTTATGTAAGAAAGAATTTAAAGGATCAATTTATGGCTATACATTAACACAAGCTGCAGTATCGACATAGGTCATAGAATTTCTCATTAAATATTGATATTAACTAAACTGAGATCAATGGCAGGTATATAAGACCAGCATAATGTGACTCTTTTAGCTCTTAATGGTATTGAAATTGAAAGATTACTTTATGCTATAAAAATTTGCTTTCAGAGTGTGGCTATTGTGAAACAGCTGTAACCCTTTAAAGTGTGTCTCTTTAAACTGCTGTTAAATCACAGATGGAAAAATGTTTTGTGTGAATCCGCCATGTCTTAATGGAAAATAATTTTTATCAATAAAAACTCAGAACTTACAGGTTTTCCAAGTTGTCCTTTTCGCACAACTCCCAATCACGTACCCCCCGGGGTCGCCGAACACCCCAGTGTGTTTCGCAATGTTTCTATTAATATTGCCGCAATAATACAGCACAGAAATATGATTTAGATACTGTCTGAATCTGACTCTCCACTTCCAAGTCTATATTTTCTGAGTAAGAGTGTACGTGATTCACACAGCGTACTAGCATTTTATGTGAAACAAACTTAACTAATTTATATAGAATTTTATTCATATATTCAAATATTTTTGGGAACCTATGACTTTGATGAACCCGTTTCAAGCACCAAACCAATCGGTCCACATAAGTAAGAGTGCGTTTTTGAGATTTGAAGCTTTAGGGTCTTTACACAGTGCTCTAAGAGAAATAGTTCCCCATTATACTGATAGCTGAGGTTTTTCTGCACATTTTAAGCACATGAGCAGATCATGTTACGCAAGTCCCTTTAAAGGGTACATTTAAGAAGATATGTATTAATCAAGAAAACGCCATTCATATTAATTTGATATTCTAACTACAGAATGATTCCTCAGAGGATTTTTCTTTGGTTAGCGCCATAATGATGGCCTTATGTAACACTGTTTGGCTGTTTGTTGGTGTCTCTATCAACACTCTTTTGTCAGTGTTGTCATCATCACAAACCATTAGCTGGATGGCCTTTGTTTGACAGTTAGTCTTTAAACAGCCACTCTGTCTCCAACTGCCTCTTTCAGTTTCTCAGCTCCAGAGATGGACAGGAGTGGGAGCTGATGACTGTGATTTCGAAAAAGTGACAAAATCAAAGAACACAGACAAACAAAAATGTGCGATGAAAAAGGACAAGATTTTGTTTTACTGATTTACAGTATTTTGTATAAATATGCGCTCACAGAATTTCTCACAGATTCAGAACTTTCTTGATCGTCAAACAATCTCTCAGTCAATCAGTCTCTTTCAGTTTCTCAGCAACACACTAACTGAGAAAGTTGTGGGAGGAAGTGGAGGTCAGTGGTACTGGTAAAGACTGAGGATAGGACTGCACAATACGGCAAATACATCTTGCATTTTGTGCTTATTTTGACGGCTGTTATGATTTCAGTATGATTCACGATTAGTATGAGGATTATCATTTTTCCATCACAAATTGAGTTTTCACTAAAATCATCATTTGTTGGGGTCTGTACCAAACAAAAAATATTTGTAAGCCTGGGCATCTGTTTAGAACCACAGTACTTCTTAATAATAATGTTTGTCGCATATTTTATCTTTATCAAACAAATTGCAGCTCTTGCTATTTGGATAATGCACTTAGCCATATTGTAATATTGTGGCAATATTAACTTTGGATAAATGATGATATGAGATATACTCCTTGTAGAGGGAGGATTAAGCAGCTATGGCAACATCAGAGAACAGTAATGCTGAGTTACTGTTTCATACATAATGAAAGAGCACTGAACCCAAAAACATCTTATCCAATCAGATTGACTTAGAGTTCAGGCACTAGCGGGTGGCTGTGGTGCAGATGCAGCGCGAGTTGTCCCCTAATCGGAAGGTTGTTGGTTCACTCCCCCACACATGTTGAAGTGTCTTTGAGCAAGATACTGAACCCCAAATTGCTCTTGATGCAGTGCATCGGTGTGGGAATGAATATGTTAGTTTCTGTTCGATTGACTTTGCCATCACTGAGTAAATGTGTGTGAAAGGGTGAATGTGGCACAGTGTAAAAGCGCTTTGGGTAGTATATATAATTGTTGTTTTGATTTAGGTGAAGAGGGTACATGTTTTTCTATTTTTACAATTAATTACAATTAAGTGTAATCTGAAGAAAATTCTGTGACATCAATCAATCACTATTTTTAGAGAGTGTCTATCAAACAGTAACAACAGCATCTGACTGACAAAACTCTGCTCCATTTGGATGGGTAGCAGACAGAGGCAGGGGCAGGGGCAGTGGCAGGGACAGGGGCAGATTTTGTGATTTGCGGGCCTAATGCAAACTGGGGTATGGAGCCGCTGGGCTTTATTTAATCTAGATACACAGAAGTATAACAGTATATTTTACAATAGTGGAATATGCACATCAGTGATTAATTTCAGGACATATTGTATGCACAGTCTACTTACAACAGCATACATTCTAGAAAATTAGTAATAGGATTAAATATACTACTGCACTCACCTCACTAACTAACAGAGGCAAACCACCTGCAGGTTTACTGTAGGTTACTATACTGTCCTCTCTGTACCCCATGTCTGAAATAATCAAAGTCGGCTTTAGACTTTTGTCAGCTGTGAGAAATATAAAACTGATTGCATGTCCACTACTGTAATTTTATTATAATGGTGTTAAATGGACAAAAAATGAAACAAAACCCTCTTCTTCTAGCTCTTATTGTTTATTAAAGTAGAACTTGAAGCAGCTCAGCATATTAGAATAAATCGATGATGATTTCTGACATTTGTCATGTAAAATAAATAACATGACACATGTCAACACATGTCCAAAACAAAACAAAAAAGAATAAAATCTTTGGTTGATGACACCTTGGTGTGTTGTGTGTGGCATAACCTCTGATAAAGGTTAGTCATATCCATATTCGATATTGGAAGTGCAGTACATGGGTGGGCACTATGTTCGGGCATTTTACAGACCTTTTCTACAATAGCACCACCACACAGTCTTTTGTGTTCAAATATGAAAATTCATTAAGTTGTAAGTAATACTTACCTTTGTTTTGTCTTACTGAGCTCCTCTGGCAAAATATGTGAAGACTGGGAAATATGGCCTTTTAAGCCCAGCCCACAGGAAGTGAAAGAAACCAAAAGATGGAGATGAATAAGGGGAGCTGGACTAATTCTCAGTTTCAAAATTTTTCTATTTTGATAGGTTGTTTATGTTTTGATATCTTTAAGTTTGTTAAATGTTCAATGTTGTTAGTCTAGTTTCCCCTTGTGTCTGCCTTAGGGTTAGCCTGTGTGTGTATATAACCCCACTGTATGCCAATTGGAAGTCAGGTCTTTATTAGTTATTTATTAGTGTTGTTTTAGGCTGAAGCCTTGGTTTCTGGTTGACCTCAATTCAGTCTGGGCCCTGATTTATAGCTTATTTTTATGTTTCTTAAATTAGATTAGCATTTATCTAGTTTTGTAAATTTTTGAAACTTTTTTAAAGAAACGTTTTACTTTTTACATCCTTTACATTACTGCACCTGCTATTAAAGAGCCACTTCTAGTTTGTCTGAAAGTAACACTGGTGTTGGTTATCACAGGTAGGGATTGGAAACTACAGTTGAAGTTGAAATATGCTTTATGGAGAACACAGTCCGCCTCCTCTTGTCCTGCACTTTCTCATAATACAATATTAAAACTTTATTCATGAAATATTACATCTGTATATGAATGCTAGTATGACTATTTGAAATCTTTGTCAATTTTTTGATTTTATCCTTAAATCTGTAATATGACAGTGGCCTTAATACTCGTCTGTATGATAAAACTGATCTACAGAAATAGAACAGAACTGATCATTTAACTTGTGATAATGTTTCTTTTGGTCTTGTTAATTGTATCTATAGTCTTTCATGTCCACCGTGTCATGTCTGATAAATCTGGAATTAATGAGAGGACAGATGACCCGGACTTGGCAGGAGCACAACAGAGCTACAAAAATGGCTAACAAAGCCATGTCCACTTCAAAGGTAAACTGGAGAGGTTCTCTCTGTGTGTGTGTATGTGTAGTGTGTCTGTCAGAATATGAAAGGGGCTTTGATAAATCTGAATGGGCTCTCTGCTTTACAGACAAGACCACTGTAGAGAGGGAGACAAAGATGGTTAGAGAGAGGAGAAGGACACTGAATTCTGACTGAAGATGGTTTTTGGAATCCATGAATATGAAGGTCATGTTGGGATTGTAAACATGATTCTTGTTAAGCTGCTGCTCTACAGATTCTGTTCTGCTCTGATGGAGAGATGCATGACTAATCCTCTGTGTTAACTCCAAACATTACATAATGAAAGGATTCCCTCACCAACTTCCTCTCTCTGGCACTCAAAGCACCCCTCCCCCTTCCCACAGTAACATAGAATGCCACTCTCTCCAGGCTGAGTGACAAAAGTAACCATGGTAACTGCATGTTCATATCATAAAATATAGAAAAGGGAGGTGTACAAACAGCTTTTCATTGGAGCAGTGTGCAGGCTGACCCAAGCAACATGTTTATCTGTAAATAAACCTGCTACAGCTCGTCCTCATGGGATCACACCTTCATTGTTGTACTGTGGTTTGGCCTTAGAAATATATATGAAGTTTAACTACATCATTAATCTCAGATTCGCTCAGCCCCTGGGTAGGGAATTGGCTGTTTTTGCCTGAAATGTTTTGAAAAGCTGTATTTACTATGGCAAACAACATCCAATGGAGGTCTAGGAGCTTTAAACACACTACAAGACTTTCAAAGTCATGAGATCTCTGTACTGTTCACACTATGCAACTTTTAGTCTTGTTACCGGTAGTTTTGAAGTTATTTTTCACACTAAGTGACCGATCAGCAACACAATACAAATCTTTACCAACTAGTCTAACTGATCTCCAAACTACATTTCACGTGGAGTCATTAATAACACCATGTACAAAAAATTTAGAAGCATACATATTCTGAGTTTGAATTCCACTAAAACCTCCCTGCACCAAACTCCCTTTAAGAAAGGTAGAATGACACCTAACTATTTATCCTATACTGACTTGTTCAAAAACAGAATACAATCAATCCCTGTGAAAATGACCATGGCAGTTTTTCCATCACCAAAATTTACCCTAACTTTTGAGCATTATTTAGCCCTCTTCCCCACAGGCCAGCAGGAGGTGGTAATATGAAAGTTATCTTAGTATCCTATCAGTATCGTTGGAAGCTGCTTGGTAAAAAGGCAAGCGCTTTACAAAAAACCTCTGTAGGTGATTAAATGAGCCATCTGTCTATCATAGCGCAAAGTCCAAC